ACCCCAGGGCTTTGCCAGCCAACAGGGAAGGGAGCTTTAGAAGAGACCAGAAAACCTCCCCAATGTGTGAGATCTGTCTTCTCACATGAATTTGCACCTTATTTATGATAGGACATTAAGGTCTCGTCTCCTAGGAGAGCGGCTGCTGGGCTGTGGCATTTGCAGGAGGTGGGATGTGGTGGCAGCACAGGGCATGCTGCGCGTGCTGGGGTGGGATGTTTACGGAGCATCCAAAATCAGCATTCTTTTAAAGGAGCTAATTGAGGATCTTGCTATAGATCCCAAAAGTTTGCTGCCAACTAAATTGAGCTCCCGACATAAGACACTGCATTTGCAGCCCTTCTGAGTGCTCTTTTTTTGAGAACAAGTCTCCAAATTTGAACTGGGGGATGCTGCGTTACTGTGCTGGTGCAGATGCCCCTGCTCACCCCGGGAAGGCGGCCGCAGCCTCAGTGCCGTCCTTGTCAGATGACAGTCGTGTGGCATGCTCCGAAGGGATGAACGAGTCCTGCCGGGTGATTATTTTCCTTGCATAGTCTGAGGATGGCTTTGTGGATGTGAAAAGCCTTGAAATAAGGAGAGATCAGTGGATGGTGCAAACAGCAGTTGCTGTTTTGGGCTGGCTGCCTGCAGAGAGCAGGTTCTGCGCAGCATCTACATCTCACTCCTTCGTGATAACGTCAGTTTTAGCCATTTCACTTGACTTTTTGCTCAAAGACATCAAGAGGCTCCTGGGAGAACATCCTAGATGGCACAACAGATGCTGATGCCCTTCAGGGAGGATGTGCTGTGGGGCCAGCTTCTCACTGGGACTAGAGAGTACGCAGGAGATGGCTGTGTACAGGCTAATTAAGGCTGTTCATTGAAATGCTCTGCCTTCTGATTGCCTGCTGAAGGGGTTTTCTCCATCGGGCCCATCCCGGTGAAGTGGCCAGGGCTATCTTGCATCTCAAGCAGGGTCCGCTTCTAGGTGACAGAAGCAGGCTGGTCTGGTGGCCAGGAGCTTCAGGTGTCCCCTCTCCTGCCCTGCAGGTCCTAGTCCTGGGGAACAAGCGAGACCTGCCTGGTGCCTTGGATGAGAAGGAGCTCATTGAGAAGATGTAAGTGTGCTGGTGGCCTGGGTGGCTGTGGTGGGACTGTGACACAGTGTGACCCACCCTGTTCCCGCCATGTCCCCACTGGCACGGTCACCCTGCCGTGCTCTGCCGGTACTCCTT